GTTCTATTTAGGGCCATGAACTCAGTGGAAAATTGAGTAACATCTATAAATTCTATTCACTCCCTTTTTCAGATCATTAAAGGCATTAAACTAGATCAGACCCAACATGGACTCTTGTAACACCCCACTACACATTGCCCTAGAGTTAATTATGCTATCATTAATCATTTGCCCACTGTTTATAATCATCCAAGCATTTTTAATATAACTAGATTCTTATTCAAGCCTGTTTTAAATTAATTTTTCAAATAAGATTTGGAAGTTCCAGATACAATGATCCATTGGCACCTGCATTCATCAATTAAGCAGCATTTTACCTCTCTCCTCCTTCGGAGTTTTTCTGGTAGGATGTGCCCTCTCTGCAGATCTCTGCTTTATGTTAGACATAGCTCCTCTGTGCTCCAGTTGTTTACAGTTTTCAATAGCTGCACCATAACTTTTTAATCTGTTGACATAAAAAAACAAAACAAAACAGATGATGTTGACCCACATCACACTTGTTTTTTTAAAAAAATGATTACACATTTGTTTTATTCATTATTCACTTCTCTGCTCATGTCTTTATTTTTAGCAATGTGCCCTAGTTCTCCATTAGAAGTAACTTGATATATTTCTTTAACACCATTTAGGTCCTTTTATGCTTGGATGTGTGTCATATACATTGTTATTTTGGATGTACTAAATATTTTATAACCTTTTCAGACTAAATTTTGAAAAGTGTTATTTTTCTTATTTCTTCATACAGACTTTATTTCTTCTGCAGACTTAAGAAAAACAATCTTTTATCTTCCTTTTAAAATATGTTACACATCTCTGCATTTATTACTGGTTCTATTTTTCTGGATTCTCCTTTTCCAGCTTTCTGTCTCTCTTTTTAACTAATAAAACATAGTACACATAGTTACACATACTTTAGAACAAAATAGTTTTACAAGGTTTGTAATAAAAAAAATAATGGTCTCCCATCTCCACTCCAGCATTCTCTCTTCAAGAGACAAAAAATTCCAACTCTCAGCTAAATATGTTGGTGTTTACCTCTATGACCCGAAATAATGTGCTTGAATTTCTACCATTTGATCTTTATTTTAGGCATTATGGATTGCCTTTGCAGTATGGAGGATAAGAATTTTGCTCCTTTTCCTCATTTATTCCTACCACACATGTATTTCTTTTCCTTTACCACATCCTCCCAATGTGTTTGCATCATAATTTTTATTAGATTAATATCCGGGTTAGTTTTATTATGATTACGTAAATGCTATCTGTATCTGAAACAAATTGTAAACTCTGATAACTTTTCTTTTTCTGCACAACTTTTTGTTTTCTCTGGAATTAATGGTTATTCTTAATTTTGTGTTCGTTTGATTTTTTGTTTTGCTTATCATTAATTTATCCTCCAACTTCTCATCAATTGACGAAAGCTCCTTTCAAGACTGCCAGACCCATTAGACCTTATCTCCATTTCATCTTCCTAAAGAAGGACCTTCCAGAGCCTGCTTACTTCCTCTAATCTGGAATGGCAGCACTCTAGTTCTGACATAGCTTTCATCCTGAGATCTCCCTTCATCATCCGAGGATTCGTTTCATTCCTCCTGGTCTCTCCATCCTGTGTTTTCCTCTTTCTTGGGTTAATCTCAAGCTTCTGAAAAATACAGGAATGGGAGGTGGTTTGAGGGGAACTTACATGTTTGAAGATGCTTTATGCCATCCTTACACACTGATTGGCTGGGATTAGAAATGAAGACTGAGACCGTTTTCTTTCAGGTGGTTTAAGGAATTATTCTATCACCTTCTAGCTTCCAGTATTGCTGTTGAGAAGTCCAAAGCATTCTGATTCCTACTCTTTTGTACTTGATCAGTTTTTGTTTGTTTCTGGAAGGTTCTATTTCCTTCTCTTTGTTCCTTGTGTTCTGAAATTTCACAGTGATGAACCTTGATGTGGATCTCATTTTATCCATATGTGCTGTGTTCTTGATGGGCCCTTTCAGTCTGAACACTAAAGTTACACAGTTCTAGGAATTTTACCTCCCACCCCAATTACATTGTTGATTTATTTCCTTCTATTTTCTTTCTTTCTGTTTTTGGAACTCCGGTTATTTGAATATTAAACTTACTAATAAATCTTCTAATTTTATTTTCATCTTGTTCTCTCTTATTTTTTACATTTTTGTTCTTTTGCTCTGCTTTCTAGGGTATTTCATTTCCTAAAGGTTACAGTGATTGGACCTAGCTAATGGGCACCTGTCCCTAATGCTGGTGAGTCCACGATGGCTTATGTGATCTGCCTCAGAAAGAATGACTGAGCCAATCAGATTCCTGTCCCAGGAATTTGGAATTGGAAAACTGAGACACTAAAGCAGTTAGCAATAACACTGAAGTAGAGGTAGGAACAGAGAGACCTTGATAAGCCATGCTAAACAACAGTCACATGAAATTCAAAGATGTGGGGAGGAGAAGCTATAAGCAAACGAGAAAAAAGCAAATCAGGTGGGTTGATGTGCCAGGGTGGTGTTCCTCCTTCTGCCGTCCATCCTGGGGAAGGGCACTATCATGCATCCAGTAGCCCCAGCCTACTGCAAGACATTGATCTCGCTCACCTGGAGTAACAGGCTTACTGCATCCCCTTCAGCCATTCTTCAAGCCATCCTCCACAAAAAAATGTGAATCTTATGCTTTTACCACTACCTGGCACATAATAGTTGCTCAACCAATAATGTTATTACATTTCTAAAGATATTCACTCTTTGATATGATAAAAAAATTTAGAATAAAGTCTTAAAAAATATAAATGGCATTTAAAAACAAGTATATTTAGTGAAGGAAAGAATAGTCTTTCAACACATTATGCTGAGACAACTGGGATATCCACATGCAAAAGAATGAACTTAGACCTCTACCACATGCCATATAAAAAATTAACTCAAAATGGATCAAAGAGCTAAATATAGGAGCTGAATGCCCCTATAACCCAAACACCTCCCACCAGGCCCCACCTCCAATGTTGGGGATCAAATTTAAACAGGAGACTTGGAAGGGACACATATCCAAGTGATATCACCACCAAAGAAAAAATTAGATAAATTGGACTTCAGAAAAATAAAAAACTTCTATGCTCCAAAGAACACTATCAAGGAAGTGAAAAGACAATACACAGAATGGGAGAAAATATTTGCAAATCATATATCTAAAAGGGTCTACTATCTTAGGTATCCAGAATACATAAGAACTATTACAACTCAACAATAAAAAAATTTTAATGAGCAAAGTATTAATATTTTAATTGACATTTCTCCAGTGAAGATATACAATTAACCAATAAGTATATGAAAAGATGCTCAACACCATTAGTCATTAGGGAAATGTAAATCAAACCCACAAATGAGATACAACTTAACACCTAGTAGGATGGCAATAATAATGATTAAAAAAAAGGAAAATAACAAGTGTTAGCAAGGATGTGGAGAAAGTGGAACCTATGTTGCTGGTGTGAATAGGCTGTGTGAACCTTCATATGATGCTGGTGTAAAATGGACAGCTATTTTGAAGTTCCAAAAAAGACTAAATATAGTTTTACCATTGACCCAGCAATTTCGCTACCATGTGTATACACAAGATAATTGAAGGTGTATATCTACACAAAAGTTGGAAAATGAAGATTTATAGTAGCATTATTCATGATAGCCAAAAAGTATCAATAGCTCAGATGTTCAACTGATGAATGAATAAACAAATGTGATATATCCATACAATGGGATATTATTCAACCATAAAAAGGAATGAGGTATTAATTTGTGTTACAATATGAATGAACCTTGAAAAATTTGTGCTAAATGAAAAAAAGCCAGACACAAAAAGACAACATATTGTATGACTTCTTTTATATGAAATGTCAAAATAGGCAAATCCATAGAGACAGGAAATAGAGTGGTTGGTTGTAAGGGGCCAGAGCAGATGAAAAATGGAGAGTGATTCCTAATGGGTAGAGGGTTTCTTTGTGGGATGATGAAAACGTTTTGGAATTAGATAGTGGTGACGGTTTCACAACATTGAGAATATACTTTAAAAATCACTGATTTGCACCTTTTAAAAGGGTGGATATTGGTATACAAATTATATCTCAATACAAGAAAAAAGAAAATGAAGTAAAAATTATGAGCACATTAAAAATATCCTTATACAAAGCCTTTATTCATTTCCTCAATTTAAACTATACTTTTCTTTTTAGTTCTTTATCAAAATCTCAAACTAGCTTTTGAAAGAGTGGTAATCATTGACAATTTTCTGTAAAACAAAAGCAAAGAAGGTGAAGCAAAGGATGAAATTATTTAAAGTAGCACTTGGTCATTTTGTTCCTCTTATGTGGCCATTATACATATGAAGAGAATTGCCCCAGGGCCTGATGGCTTCCCAGTTTCCACACCTGTTCTCATAATGCCCTGCTATATTGTGGTTCCCATCTGTAGATTTCCATGAGACTCCCTTTGTCACTAAAATAACCCACATTTAATTGAACTGGCTTAACTAGTTACTGTACCTTGTAGTCATACAAACCTCACGAGAGCAAGCATTTACTCTGCCTTCTACTTTGTAACTTTTTTTCACCTAACCATATAGTATGAAAAATCTTTCCAATGTCAACAAATGTATACTGTATAGGAATCATTTAAAGTGACTACAGAGTGTTTCATTGTGTGGCTGAAACATAAAATCTGACTAGGCTTCTGTAATTAGACTTTTACATTTAAGGACATGATTGTCCTCTCCATTTGCTTAAATTATTTTCTTCATCTAGTTTTTATTGAATTCTCAAACAGATTTTTGATTAGATAAACCCTCAAAATTTTCTCTGAAGAGAACAAAACCTAAAAAGATGGAAGATCTACAATAAAATGATGAATATTTTCACATTCCCATGGGTGCTATAATACTGCTGAACATGAAGCAGAATTCAGAATTCTATCAAAGAGAACTAATGTCACAGAGAGTTGATGTCACACAACCTTTGTCCTAAGTATATAAAAGACTGAGCCAAACAATGGTTCTGTAGTCTCCTAGCTTTGGCTGAAGAGAGTGCTTTTAAAAGTCAGATTTTAAACCTTGGATACTAGCTATACATGATGAGGATCCACCTTTTGTAAGTCATATGCTTGAGAAGTGCCTTACTGAAAAGGTCTTATTTCCTAAAATTAATTCTGTTTTTAACTTACTTTTCAGTTGACCCTAATCCAGCTGTGAGAAATTGGACCCATGGAGGATGAGTTAAGCATCAATAATGGTAATAGAATTATTTCTTTCTCTTTCTTAACTCACCTCTATTGCTTTAAGTGTAATAGATTGTAATGGCTCAGAGTGTGTGATTGACCAAATTGCCTATTCCACATAAATTGGATTTTTAGGGAGTAAATTTATTCAGGATGAAAAATGGCAGAGAAAGGCATGTGATCTAGAAAGCCAAGATGATGAACCTAATGAAAGGGTTGGCTGGATGCTCTCTAGTTTTTCCTTAAACTCTGAGATTTCTTCACTCAGTTATCCTAGAGATAATTCAAAACACTTTTTCCCTGAAAATTCTTCTCCCTTAAAAAATGAATTTGGGTATTCTCAGTTTATAGGATTAATATTTTGGGGGGAAATTTAATTCCCTTAGTGATGCCTAAAGGATAGTTTTTAACATGGCTTACAGCAAGGAGTTAATTCCTTGTCTCATAGTGAACATTATTTTGGAATTTCTAGATGTGTAGAAATTCAAAGGCATGCCAGTTTTTGATAGCTCTACACATTATTTCATATATTAAGGAAGAGTGATGCTTGTTTTTTTCCTTTGACTTTCTTACTCTCTGATTTGGTAGCTTTTTATTCATCATCAACTTTTGTCCCACCATTGTGCCAAATTAGGATCCTCAGCTTCTCTGACAAGATTTACAGTTGTTTTTGTAAATACATAGATTTATACTTGAAGTTCTTTCTTCCTTCATGTTGGAGAGGGAAGCTACATTCACACTGACCATGTGCGTACACTTCTCTGCCTAGGTGAGTATGAATCTACTGATATCACGAAGAAATTTATTATCGGCGTCTTCACCATCTGCCTGGTTTTCATACTCGTGCTGATTACTCTTCTCAGCTGCCTTCACATCAAATTGGCCAAGACAAGGATGTGAGTCACTGTGGTTTAACAGCGTAAGAGCCCTTCAAATGGGATTTCTAGGGGGCATTTCCTTTCCATGATGGACATGCAGCCTCTGCCCTGTGCGAAGTCAGAAACAGGAAGAGAGTTTTCAAAAACTGAGGTTAGATTTCAAATCTCGACTGTCTTCACTTGATTGGAGCTGTGAACTTGTAAGGAGAATGTTCTCAGCCTGGTGGGTGGTTCTCTGAATCAGTGCAGCTTTGCTGTAATTTTAAATAATTCAGCTGCGTTTGATATCAAGTGCTTGATTCGACACGTTGAGCTCTCCATCTATCGTAGGCACTGAAGACTGAGGACACTGTGGAGGTGTGGACACATGTCTCTGCCTTTCATTCATTCAGTTGACTAGATGAACTTTTGCCTGAGTTAGAGAGTGCTCCAGCTATTTTCTCTTTTTCATGGTTATCTTGGGGACAGTGAGGTGGTCTATGGAACTGTGGGAAAGCTCAACTGTTCGTAGGTCCTGGGAGACCAATAAAAAGGAGGTGTAAGTCAGACTGTAGATAATTAATTTGAATCTCTTTCCAAAATGTTTTTTACTATTTCACTAGCAGGGGAGCAATTACCATTTTCTCTCATCTGAAGATTCTGGTGCTCCACATTTATGGTATGCTTGAGTGTCCAGACTATCCCTGAAGTTACACCGCATTGGTGCCACCTGTAGTTAAATGATTGTCCTCTCTTCTTCAAATCCTGTCATTTTTACATACACATCATTTTTGTAAGATACATATACCATACTGAAAATCAGCCTTTGGCCTTCACAAATCCTATTATCTACATTTTTGATGAGCATGAGTCACTTCTCCAGAATTTATGAATGTTACAAAGGCATAACATTTTCTTCCAAAATGCACCTTTTGAAATACTTTGGCTCATATTCTGAACACAGGTTTGAAATATGCCTTTTACCCAAGTGACATTGGTGGGAAGATTTCCAACATATACATTAGTCTTTATTTCTTTTCTGTGCAAGTTGGGCTCCTCTCTTTCAGTTCTGGTTGATCCACCTAATATGCACTTTGGCTCAGTGATTATCTGATCAGCCCAGCAACCACTGTACTGTCCCCCCTTTCAATAATAGCCAATGTCACAAATGCACCTCATTCTCATGTGTATCCAACAGGCCTCGTGGATTTTTTTTTTACTATCAATTACAATTATTATTATTTTGTTAAAATTGTCTCAAATTTCACCAGTGGGAGCCCCTCCAAACTGGTTTCTATGTCTTTTTAAATCTCTTTCCATTAATCTTTGACTATTTATTTGCTTCCAGGCAAAATAGTTTGTGCTTTTCCTGCCCTAAACCTAGAATAAACCATTTCTGCAAGGAGCCCTGATTCCTGTTAGTGGGGAATAATATAGCAATCGGGATCTGAGTACTAAACATACTCATTGCTATACTCATGGATACCGGTGTGTCATTGCTTCTTAGTGAATGAAGGTAGAAAATATACATTTTTCTTTACATATAATGGATTTATTTAAACATTTCTAACTCTAATACAACGCTATGGGATTTTTTTCCCTTAACTTCTTTGATTTAAATTTATATATCATTTCCTTTACACCAAAAATTATGGTTTGTAATACATACACATACAAACACACATACACAAAATAATTTCAGTTACATTACCAATATTACCCCTAACAATAAAGCTACTGAGTAAAGTGTAGGATTTCTTTGTAGTTCTTTTTTGTCATGCTTTAAGGACTTATAGGAAGAGTTTTATATACTTGAAATAATTCTGTATAGTTACCAATGTGATACATAGTTAGGTTCATTTGTCTCACTTTATTTTATATTTTAGGGTTTGCTTCTTTATTTAATTTGATCTTTTGAATGTATAGAATATTTACTTGGTTCAAAAGTCAAAAATAAGTAAGGTATATTCAGGGACATCTTATTTTTATCTCTATCCTGTTCAACCCCTATTCCCCTATTGAAAACTACTACTTTCTGATTTATGCTGGTGTTTAAAAAATGTTTAGCAAATATGTATATATTCTATGTTTTCCTTTCTTACTATGCATACAAAATGTAGCATAGTATTAATATATATACAGTTTTGCAACTTCTTTTTTCACTTGACAATCTATCTGAGAGCTTATTTTATATGAGTTACTATATTGATCATCTTCATTCCTTTTTATTAGTTTGATAAATAGTCCTCTTTTCTGTGTATGTACTATAGTTTATTCACCAATCCCCTATTGATGGATGTCTGAGTCGTTCCTAATCTTGTAAAATTAAAAATAATGCTGCAATGAGTAGTTTTGTGCATGTGTTTGTTCTACATTTGTGGAGATGTATCTCAGGATAGATGCCTTGAAGTGTATTGACAATTCTTCTCCATAAAGATTGTAGCATTTGCACTTCCACTAGCAATGTGTAAGACTGCCTATTTCTCCAAAGCCTTGTCAATAGCATATGTTGTAATTTCTGGATTTTTGTCCATCTAATGGGTGAAAATGTTATTAAGTTTTATTTTGAGTTTCTACTCAAAACAGAGTTAGTTTGCACATCTTTTTTTTTTTTTTTTTAATTTAAGGGCCACTTGCCTTTCTGCACAGGTCTTTCGCTAGTATTTCCTTCAGTTTTTTTTCTGCTTTATTGTCAAGAGTATATACAAGAAATATTAGTACTTTGATAATAGTTGTACAATTTTTCTTTCAGTTTGGCAGTATGTTTTGACTTTGGATACAGCAAATTTTTTTTTAATATTGGGTTTTTAGCAGCTTCATTGAGATCTTATTCACATATCATGCAATTCACCCATTTACAGTATACACTGCATTGGCTTTTAGTATATTCACAGAGTTGTGCATTCATTACCACAATATAGTTCAGAAAATTTCATTACCCAAAAATAGATACCCTTCACCTATCCTTTCAGTGCTAGACAACCACTAATTTACTTTCTACCTCTATAACCACATACTCAAAGAAAAATGTTTTTTTCCTTTTTCCTCTCAATTTTTGTGTAGTCAAATTTCTCTCCCTTTGTTATTGCTTCTAGATTTTGAGTCAGAGTTTGGAAGGTTTTTCTACTCTCAAGTTAAAAAGGAATCCACCTTTACTTTTACTACACTTCTTGTAGTCTTTGTACAGTTTTATTGTTTACATTTAGATCTCTGATTTATTTGGAATTTATTTAGTGAATGGCATAAAGTGTGGATCTAATTATTTTTTTCTAAATGACTATATAGTTCCAAGACTTTTATTGAAAAAGTCCCTCAGTATTAGTTTCCTATTGCTTCTGTAACAAATCACCACAAATTTAGCAGCTTCAAACAACACAAATCTATTATCTTACAATTCTGGAGATCAGAATTTCAAAACCAGTTTCACTGGGCTAAAATCAAGGCATTGGCAGGGCTGTGTTCCTTCTGGAGGTTCTAGGGGAGAATCTGTTCCTTGCTTTTTCCAGCATCTAGAGTCCGTCCCATTCATCGGCCCATGGGCCCATCACATGACCTCTGCTTCTGTTGACACATTTCTTTTTCTTCTTTTGACCCTCTTGTCTTGCTTTTATAAGGATTGTTGTGATTATGCTGGACCCACCTGGGTAATAGAAGATAATCTCCACCTTTCAAGATCTTTCATGCAATCGTATCTGCAAAGTCCCTTTTACCATTTAAGGTAGTATATTCACAAATTCTAGGGATTAAGATGTGGATATCTTTGCAGGGCTGTTATTTGGCCTACCGTATTATCTTTCCCCAGTGTTCTAAGATGATACTTTTATCATTATCAAATTTCAATATTTGCTTGTGTATATTTCTAGAGTGTCTAGTTCTATTTGTCTGCCATTACCACGCTGTTTTAGTGAAAAAGGCTTTATAGCCTGGCTAGCTTTCCACTCTCATTTCTTTGCTTTTGTTTGAGGTTGTCTTGGCTGGTTTTGATTGTTTATTTTTCCACATAAATTTCAGAATCAACTTGTTCAGCTGTAGGAAAGAAGGTTTTTGGTATTTTATCAGAATTGCTTTACATTTATTTATATGTGAACTTATGGAAATGTGACATTTTTATAATGTTGATCCACCCTATCCAAGAATGTAAGATGCTTTCCATTCATTTAAGTCAACTCCATGCCTTTCAGGAGTGTTGTTTACTTCATATAAATTTTGCATATTTCTTACTAAGTTTATTTCTAGGTATTTTACCTTTTCACTTTGCTTTTGTAAATGAGATCTTCTCTTCAACTATATCATCAACCTGATAACTGTTTGCATTTATATAAGGGTATTGATTTTCATAAATTAATTTTATATCTTGCTACTTTACTCAGTTAGTTTATTGTTTGTAATAGTTTTATTTTCTTTTTTAGCTACACAAACAAGTCTTTAAAAGATTTTTAAAATACTTATGTAGTTTAATTTATAATTTTTTTATTGCTTCCAGATTTTGAGTCATAGTTAGAAGGCTTTGCCTACTACCAAGTTACAAAGAAATGATATATTATCAAATTAACTGAAAATAGGGAGATTTTTGCCTCTTTCCAATTTTTATAGCTCTAATTATTTTCTCTTGTCTGATTGTAGTAACTAATAGCTCCAATATAAATTTAAATAGTAATGGAGATAATAAGAAATCTTGCTTGTGCCTGACTTGAGCAATAATGCCTCCCCACAAATTAACATGTTGGTTTTGGTCTTGAGGTACATATACATATATAATGATGTTAAGGGAGTATTTGCAATATCTATTTTATCAAGTGTTTTTATCTGGAATGAAAATTAAATTTTTAAAAAAGATCTTTTTAGGGCTTATGAAGATAAGCATATAACTTTTCTCCTTAGATAGTGAATAGTTTTCCTAATACTAAATTATGTTGGCATTCTTGAAGAATAGATTTTTTAAAAAATTTCTCTAATTTAACTAGATGGTTCACCTTTGTTATTCCTAATCTTGTATATCTGTAGTTTCTTTTTTCTTCACAAGGTTAGTGATTTTAGTA